CTCTCTATCTCTCTCTCTCTCTCTCTCTATCTCTCTCTCTCTCTCTCTCACACACACACACACACACACACACAACCTCTTTATTTATTTTTTATTTTTTATTTTTTTTATTTTGTAATCGTTGGGTTCCTTGCACGTGCGTGGCGAAACAATGTTGTCGCTGGGACATTTAAGTATAAAGTACAGTTGCCGACGTCGCTTTACTGAAAAAGTAATGCGCATGACGATAGATTGCGGGAAAGTTTTTTTTTTTAACCGAGAGTCTACTTGTTAGAATTAATATTCTACAGTATGTACGAATTATATATATAAATCTCGCAGGAATAAGTTATTGTACAAACGTAATTTATAGAAACGGGGGAAAGGAAAGGATTTTTTGGGTTTTCATATTTCTTACAGGCAGTCTTAATGAGATGTCGAATAATCCTATGATAAAAGTCGATATGAAATTATGCTCGTGTGGAATAAACATTCGATGGGATGTCGATAATGTGCGATTATTAAATGAACGAGCACCTTCTCGTGCATTGGACTATATTGTTTGATGAGCCATTGCGTTGAAAAATAATCACAACGAGAGATCGATAGATAAGAATTTTCATATTATACATGCCAATGGAATTCGTCTCATTTTTAAAAATTAAAACGACCTACCAACTAACAGGTTTGAGTATTCGTTAATACGGAGAAGAGGAAAATTCTTCGTTACTTCAATTTCACTAATCGTGCGCCGCAACATCACAAACCAAATAATTATTATTATTTTTCTTTATTAAATTCTCCTTAAATGTACGTCAAGTCGTTAAGACGATAATCAAATAATTCACACGATTCTTTATCTTTTATCGCTGACATTTTACTGAAAATCTATTCCACGTTATTGCTCTAATCGTTGAATACAACAGTTTATAAAGCCCACGTCAAATTAAAATTACACGCTATTACACTTGATGCAATATTAAGCTACTTTTTTCCCAATAGTTTTCAAATGAAAATTGATCAACTTAAGGACGATCGAATCCAAGTCTTGCGGTACGTACGTTTACGACTTGCTTATCCGGTAAAAGTAAACATTATCGCCTCGAACTATTTTCGAGATCTTATCGACCGGATTTTTGCCTGATTTATGTGTTTGTCGGTGACGTCTTAAGCCACTGATGTGCACATTAATAGATCTCGCTCGCCGCGGTAAATTAATTTTGACGATAATAAGTGGCGGATAAGTCGCGCGAAGCCAGCTACGTCTGCTAGGAGCGAGAGAATATTTTTAAGATAAACGATTGCAAGGCTTGTCGTGAACGTGGAGGAGCGACACGATTAAGCCATTTGCACGGCAAATTAACGAGATTTGTAGGACAGTTGCGCGCGTTCCTTGAACAGGACTAACGGCTGTCTCGTTTGAAAACTATGTATTCTGTTCGCGTTAGCGGTCCACGGACATTCAATCGCAGGGCTCGAGAACTAAACGAATGAACACGAGGAACTGTGGGTCCCGGATAGAGGAGGACACGCGAGACTGGAAGCTTTCGAGATTCGAGGATTAAGCTCGCGTAATTAAGGGTCGCGGGGCCACTGGTCGAATTCGTTTCGAATTAATGTGATTAACCTCGCGCAAACCCGAGGACGGAGGACTCACTCGACACGAGGTCCGTTTGTTAAGCGCGAGGACGAGCGACCACGTCGCGCCATAAATCTCGCCGATCGCGAAATTCGTTTACCGTTCACACGCTGGCCTGCTTGGCGATTCCGGTGGCGATTCCGGTGGCGAGGCGGCGAAGAGTCGCGCCGTGCCTACCGAGAAGAATGGCAAGTCTCGTGAACGGGTGGGCGAGAGTCCCACCGCCCGAACGCGAACAGAAGCTCCACGAGGTACGAGGTCCGTCCGTGATCACGGAGTCGCCTCGAGGAGCAGATCGCCGGGAATTTTAAACGTTCGAGCGAGGCAATCCCGGGGCCCGCGACACACTGCCACGTCAGTTCGCTTCCTACCGGTCCTTCCTAAGGCCCATAACCCTTGCCGCGAACCTTATGCTCGGCCGACGACAGTATGCTCCAACACTACTAACCTGGTGGACCGATACCCTGGGGGTTGAACTGTGGATGATGATGTCCGCCACCCAGCATTGACTTGCTCTGGAGATGGTGGGCGGCGGTCGGGGAGGCGGCGGGCGAGAGATGGGCCCCCGGGCCGTAGAAACCCGCGGCCGCGAGGGCCGCCGCCCCGAAGTAGCTCGCCGCGGCGACCGATGCCGAGGAGGCTTGCGAGGCCAGCTCCCCGGCTGCCCGTTGCGGCGGCGGTGTCTCCGGGGCCGCGGCGGGACTGCCGGGGCCGCCGGTCGGCGGCGAGCCGCTCCCCTGCGAGGAGGAGCCGCCCAACTGGCCCGGATGGCTACTCGCAGCGGTGAGGAGCGTGGATACGCTAAAGTCCGTGGGCCGGGGGGCGGCCGGGGCCGGGAGTCGGCCGTTGGGGTTGCCCGTCGGGGTGAAGGGCGAGTGCCGGCTAAGGGCAGCGGCCGGCGCCGGGTACGCCATCCCGGGCCCGGCCGAGTCAGGCCCGCCCAGTTCGGCGGGCTCGCGCTCGCGCCTCGAAGGCGCGGCTGACGTCGTTGCGGTCGCCGGCAGACTCAGGTCCGCGGGCGACGGGGCCGGCGAGGGGCCGTGCTGTCTTTTGACCGCGGCTGACTCCTCGGCTGCGGAGAGGCCGCCGCCGCCGTCCTTGGGGCTGGCGACGGCGCGCGGGGCCAGCTCCGTGTCGACGCGGGTCGCCGGCGGCTGGCGCGACAAAAAAGGCTGTAACTGCTGCAGTTGTAACTGCTGCTGCTGAAGTTGTTGCTGTTGTTGCTGCTGTTGTTGCTGATGTAGCTGTTGCTGTTGTTGCTGCTGTAGCTGCTGTAGCTGCTGTAACTGTTGCTGCTCCTGCTGCTGGAGAAAGAGGAGAGACTGGACGGACTGCAACTGTTGCGTCGCGTGTTGCAGCTGAAGACTTTGGTGTCGATGCTGCAGCGGTGGCGAAGACGAGAGCTGCCGCTGACGATGCTGATATTGCTGCTGATGCTGATGCTGATGCTGCTGATGCTGATGCTGATGCTGATGCTGCTGATGCTGCTGGAGCGGCGGCAGGGGTTGGAGCTGGGGCTGCTGAAGGTGGCGTGACTGCTGTAGTGAAGTCGGGAGCGGAGCGCTAGCGCAGTGGGTACCCCTGCAGGCCGCCTCTTGTTCGAATCTCATCGAGGATGGGTGGAGCTGGGCCCTGCCTGAGTCGCGCGAGGTCTTACTCGTCGAGGGACTTACGGGGCACCGGGCACCGTGGGGCTCATACCTCCGGGGCGGCGGCCGCCCGGCAAGGACTGCCGCCTCCACGGCGACGACACTCCGGCAACGTCATCCTCCCCCGCGGAACACGCGCACAGACCTCGACACCACTGTATCCGGCTCACTCGTTTCTTTCGCAGCTCCTTGCCGTTGGGCTCAATTAGACGACCGGCGACACGGCGCGGCCTCTTCACGTTGCCCAATCGCGCTCATGCTCCTCCGCTAATGGGAGAGGCCAAGACGAGGGCGACGACACTGGCTGCCGGCGACGGGTCGCGCGGCATCCTGCCGCCTTTTAGGTTATGAATGTATTTTATCACCACGCACACTCCGTACACGCGACGCGTTCCACAGCGTCTGAACGCGATCTCTCCTCGCGCCTCCGCGAGTGCCTCTCCACGCGTCCGGTCGTCGGGCTCTCCTCGAGCCTTCCTCGAGCCTTCGCGCGCGCGAGTCGATGCGACGGTAGCGAGAGCCGAGCGGTGGCAGCGCGTGCGAGCGGCAAAGTCGAAGAGAGACGGAGATTGCGAGAACGGCGACGACGGGGATCCGCGGGAGAATGAATCAGAGAGTGAGAGAGAGAGAGAGAGAGAGAGAGAGAGCGGAGAGAGCACGAGGGACATACAGGGAGACAGAGATGGAGAAACGGAGAGTCAGAGAAAAGGAGCGGCAACGACGTCAACGACGGCAACGACGACGACGACGACGTCGACGACGACGACGACGACGACGACGACGGCGACGGCGGCGACGGCGGCGGCGGCGGCGGCGGCGGCGGCGGCGGCGGCGGCGGCGGCGCGCGAAGCGAAGGTGTTACTTGGGTGGTGCCGCGATGGTCACTGAGCAGCGCTAGGATTGACACCTTCTCCGAGGCTCACCCCCACACCTCCGCCACAGCGACGAAGGGAAGGTGTCGATGCGCCGGGGTCCCGGGACTGCGCATAAGCGGAACAAGGACGGTAGAACATCGAGCGATCGGAGCGGGGCGTGCGCCCGATCCCCACCACCGAGGCCCCAGTCGCGGAGCGGGGCTTACGTGCCGACGTTGGTGCGAGCGAGACGTAGCTAGTAAGTCGCTCCCCTACGCGCGCCCCACCACCGGAATCCCGCCGCTTCACTCGTACGTCCGTCTCGCTCGCGGTCTCGTCGACGAGCCGATGGGTGGGGGAGGCCCTGGCGCCCGTTGGAGGCGTGAATGCCGCCGGAGGCTCGCCGAGCCACCACCCGCCCCACCTCGACGTGCGCGCGCGTAGTGGGAGACGCACGGCGACCGATGGTGGGGGCGACGGCGGGGAGCGCAGCGAGGCGGCCACGCGGGTGCGAGCGAGAGAACGAGCGAAGGATAGAACGGCAAGTAGTAAGGCGGCCGGTTTCCTCGTGCGCACGGCGCCGTGACGACGACGACTACTACGCGTAGCTGGATACGTAAACGGATGGTAAGACGTCTACATGACCACGATGAAAACGACAGCAACGAAGCGACGACGACGACAGCAACGAAGCAACGACGACGACGACGACGACGACGATGATGGTGGTGGTGGTGGTGGTGGTGGTGGTGAAGGTGGCGGCGATAGTGGTGGCAACGGCAGCAGCGGCAGCAACGGCGCCGACGACGACGGATGACGTTCCAGCAGTGCTCGGCGATAATGAGCGCTCGCAGTGCGGATTGGCGCCCAAACGCCAATCGGCGCGGTGTTACTCGCAATGCCTTTTCCGACGCGCTCGTTTCCCCTTTCTCTTTCGCCACCGCCGTCGCCACCATACCTCCCCCCCCTCCCTCTCTCTCTGTCTCTATCTCTGTCTGTCTGTCTGTCCTCTCGCTGGCGCACCGACTCAGTGATCGAGGGTGGCTTCGCCCCGTCGAAGGCGTTGGCTCGACTCCCGGTGCGCGCTGTGTTCCTGCGCTGCTGGCACGGCTCTCCTGCTGCCGGCGGCGCGCGTCGATTGGCCGCGCATTCCCGGCGCTAAAATGGCGTCTCGGCGCAGCCGCTGCCACCGCCGTCGTCGGATAATTCCGCGCCTCCGTCCGTCCCTCTCGGAACCTCGTTCGCGCTCGCTCAACAGTGCTGATGCCGACGCCAGCCGCTGCCTCACCCACCCTCGCCTACCCCTCTGTCCTGTTCATCATCGTCCACCAAGGGTGTTTAACCGCGAGTACGCCCATTAACACTACCCTCTCCGCCTTTTCGAGATTCCCACTCTCACAACCAACCACCCCCTCTGTACCCTACCATTATCACCGTCGCCGTCGCCTCCTCCACCTCGCGCCTCATCCCAACCCGTCCCGCGCGTGTACGCACGCACGCACGCACGCACGTACGCACGCATGCACGCATGCACGTTCCCGCCACCTCCTTACACCGGAGCTCGCTTCAGAACTCTGTGGAGAGCCGTATAATCCATCTCTCTTCTCTCTCCTCCCTCAGCCGCCGCTCTAGCTGTCTCATCACCCCGTCTCTCTGCCGCTCAACTTTTTCCAGCAATCGCTGGCGGGCACTCGGCAACACCGAGGAGGAAAGAAAAGTATAGAGAAAGTGATAGAAGTCAACGCGCGTGCCGTCAAACTTTTAACGCGATTCCTCGACGGGTGCGACGTTCCGGGCCAACATGTACGTAAGCGACAACGAAGGCAACGGCGACGGTGACGGCAACGGCGACGGCGACTGCGACGGTAACAGCAACAGCAACGGCAATGGCAACGGCAACGGCAGAGGCAGAAGCCGAGGCAGCGGCAATGCGGCATCGACGACCTACCGAGGGGGAGAAAGAGAAACTCCGCACGCAAGAAGCTGGAAAGAAAGTCTCCGCCGACTGGACTGCTAAGGGGATATTGCGAGAGAAGCGGGTTTCTTGGTCGATTAGCCGAGTGCTCCGTGTGATTTCTGGGCACGCACTCGACCGCTACTATTGACTTTTTTCGCTCTCACCACGCTCCCTCCCCCTTGGCCCCTCGCGTCGCTTTGCTCGTTTTGCCTGTTTTCGGTAGTGATAATTCTTGCACGTGCTGACGGGGATCCGTGCACTGGGCTTTTCGACTTATGCCCGCCGCGGCTAATTACCAAGGCGTATTTTTCGTTTTTTTGTTTTTTCTTTCTTTTTTTGTTTTTTCATTTGGTTTTTGTTTTTGTTTCTTTTCGCATTACTCTCAACTTTGTACGTACCTTCAATTTTGGCCCGAGTCTTTTGCAAATTTAAAATGCCAGCTGCAACTCTCGCAAAGATAATCCTCCTCTGGCTGCGTCCCGCTTGAATAGCTAAGCGAATAATTTGTTTTTCCTACAGCCAGACTATTCCAGTCTACATTTTTTTTTATCCCTTTTTTTTTCTTTCTTTTTCTCTCTCCCCTCTTTATCCTCTTCTCCATCTCTCTTTTTCTCTGTTTCTCTATTTCTTTTTCCGTTTCATTTTTCCAATAATTTATTAATTGTATTTATTGCATTTGTGATGATCATAATGATCGCTATTGTCATTGTCGTTGTCGACGTCGATCGTCGACGTTATGAAGATTGAAAGTATTTTTAATTCACGTTGCGGTGGCTGAATAAATACGCATTGCCTTTGCTCCTTATGCCATTTTATTTTCAAACAATTGACTTACAAGAAACGCGATACGATGCAAGACTCGATTGGCAAGACTCTGTAAGATAATAAATCCAACGCCCGAGATTATGTAAACACAAATAGAGTAAAATATTGTTATGTTACTTAAAGGTGATTGACATGTTTTACATGTAAAGGGATAATGTAAGGAACCGTTTGCTTGTAATAACTGCTTGAAGATTCGACTCCCCTTACTATAATTTACCGAGATTATTATATATGCACCACGTCACGGCCATTTTTGCGTGCCTACAAGCGCTAAAGGTCCTTTTTCCTCCTGTGATCGAACGCTATTAGTCCACGCATCAATGAGCCGCGTTGCGTCGAATATTTTTCTTTGTTTTTGCTCTTATCTTTTTTCTCTTTTCTTATCGTTATTCAGAGGCTCCAATACCAAGAGTCGCGTAATGTTAAATATATCAACACATTTATTGAAAAGAGAATCGCTCGAGCACCCCGTTTTTCTAGTTCAATTCACTAAATTGCATATTACGTTGAACGGCGGCAAATCGATTTCGAGTGTCTCGCGTGAATCGATGCCACCCAACATATCATTCATCTCCAATCAATTTTCTATATTCACGCGCATTAATGGGAAAGCCGATATTTTCACGAGAGCATTTTATAATGACGATGGACGCATTTTCCATATTTCCTCTACCCTCTGCTCGCTACTATGTCATCGCTTGCAAACGCTCCTCGGCCATTATTTCATTCCATTACTGATCATTAATCCGAACAATTATACTCGAACTCAGCACTCACTCGGAATCAACTAAAAACCAAAACAATGCCGCCCCCTACACCAAACGAAAAACATCGGGAGACTTTGAGCGACCGACTCTAATTCACTGATCGCGTAAAAGCGGCGCTTTTCAAACACACGAGAAACGGGAAAATAGCGCGGCGACACGCGAGTCGCGGCAAATTCACCCAGTCTCGCTCCGTCCTTCTACGCACCTGAGAAAACGAGAAAAAGGGAAAGAACGAAGAAGGATGGAACGGAATGGGAGAGAAAAAGGTAAGGGACCGCGGTAGCCGCCCAACCAGTTCCTATAGTTCCTCTACAAGGTGTCCGAAACATAAGCGATGGATGTAAGTAAACCATCGATAGATAGAAATTCCATTCCAAGACCAGATTTCCCCACGAGCTCACCTTCTCGCCCCGATCTCGTTGCTATCTCGCTCGCTCGATCCGCGGACCATTTAAATCTACATCATCATCTACACGACTACTAGCGGCCATTAGTTCTCCTCTAACTAACCCGCATCCCTGTATCGCAAGGAGCCTCGATCCGGCAATATCGTGACAGACTGGAGACTCGCGATAAGCTACGAAAGGATTTAACGACTCCGACACTTATTGGGTCTCTGAATCACTGCCTCTCACGACAACTACACA